AGAGAGGAGGAAGAGGGAGAGAGTGATAGAAACATCAACAATGAGAGAGAAGCATTGATTGGCTGCCTCCTGCATGCCAGGAATTGAACCACAACTCCTGGTGCATAGGTCAACGCTCAACCACTGAGCCACGCTGGCCCGGCATACCCTTTACTATTCTTTTACTTGATATATATATTTAAGTCTCTTATAATATACAGCATCCCTATAATTTGTTGAAAAATTAGGTTATCTGAACTGTATAGTTTCCCATAGTCTGAACTTTGTTGATTGCATATTCATAATGCAGTTTAGCATAGTCCTCTGCCCTCTATTTTCTATAAATTAAAACCTGGATCAAAGCCATGTCTGATAGTATTAGCAAGGCTATAGATTTTGTTATATAACATCTGGTTATCTTTATTTTGTGTGATCTTAGTGCAATTCTTAAAACTATTAATTCACTGGATGTTGAAACGGTGATATCATAATTCTATAATTGTTTTCCAATTTTACAAATTGTGATAAAATATCCATAACATAAAATTTGCCACCATTTTTAGGTGTACAATTCAGTAGTATTGTGCACATGTATATTGTCATGCAACGGTTACTACCATCCACCTCTGCAACTCTTTTCATCTTGCAAAATTGAAACTCTGTATCCATTAAATATAATGCCTCAATTCCTGGCAACCCCATTTTACTTTCGGTTTCTATGAATTTTATTACTGTAGATACCTCATGTAAGTGGGTTCATAGAGTATTTGTCTTTTGGTGACTGGCTTATTTAGTCACCATGTCTTCCATGTTCATCCATGTTGTAGCATCATAATGTTTTAACTTAATAATTGGGATACTTTTATTATAAATAAATAATAAATAAATAAAATCTCTTCTCATCTACTACTTAGTAACCCAGTGGTAGCTTTTATAAATAAAAGACAGGATAAATGCTGCTTGGTCTTTCCCTTTATTAGGCTTTAAATAAGGAAATAGATTGTTTTTTAACTGAATTTATTAACAAAAACCATATAGGTTTCAAGTGTGCAAGTCAACAAAACATCATCTGCACACTGCATCATGTGCCCATTGTCCAAAGTAAAGTCTCTTTCCATCCCCATTTATCCTGCTTTGCCCTCTTCTACTCCCCACCCCCTTTCCCTCTGGTAATCGCCATACTGTTGCCTGTGTCTATGTATATATATAATTTTTTTTTGCTTAATCCCTTTACCTTTTTTTCACCAGGCCCCCTGCTCCAGCCTCTCTGACAGCTGTCAGTCTGTTCTATGTATCTATGCTTCTGTTTCTATTTTGATTGTTGAATTATTTCGTTCATTAGATTCCTCATGTAAGTGAAGTCACATGGTGTTTGTCTTTCTCTACTGGCTTATTTCACTTAGCATAAAACTCTCCAGGTCCATCAAGCTGTGGCTTCTTTAACATTCTCTAACAGTGAGTTCTCCTCCTCATCCTTCTTATTCTTCTTCCTATTATAAATGTTATTATTAACACTATTTGTAAAATATAATTATGAACTCCTGTATTTAAATCTATTTCATGAGTCAATACATTGTAATTATTGTTCTTTGTAATTACTGTTTTCCATCTTTGGCCAGTGGAAACCCCTTCAACTAGTCTTCCAGTCCTTTTGATATGACCTGAATAGTTTTTCGTAGCTTCCTTTCTTTTTAGTATTTCAGATTTCCCAGACTCATATGTTTCCTGCCCCAAACCTGAATCAACCAATTTCCAAAGAGTCCAATTTTCAATAAAATTTTTTTAGTGGGAAATGATACTTCAAGAGTCCAATTTTCAATAAAATTTTTTTAGTGGGAAATGATACTTCAAGACCAAAATACAGGTGATGCTCATTGCTACTGGTTTGGTCATTTCTAGACCTTTCAGTGGACAGATCAAGTAGATATAAATGCTACTTACAGACATACTTAGTACACATACAATATACATACATACACACATGTTAAAGACAAACTGCCTCCCAAGTTCACACTATACTTCCATTTCAAAATCATATCTATAGCATTTTAATTTATTCTTTTTTCTGCTATAGTTTCATTTTCTTCCAAATATGAATCTTGGTTCTGAAAGACATTGGAAATTACAAAGTTCAAATATCTGATAAATAATCATTTGCTCCACCTCTTATCAAATACATAATAATCTCAGAATAACAATAGTAATACTATTAACACCAGTATGATTATTGCAAACATTTAAAAATTTTATATATGATCTTCTAATTCTCCTTTTATTTTTTTACTAGAGGCCCAGTGCACAAAATTAGTGCACAGGTAGGGTCCCTAGGCCTGGCCGGCGATCAGGGCCAATCAGGGCCTTCTGGCTGCTGGCCAGGGCCTTCCTTCCCCGGCTGCCACCGGGGCCTTTCTTTGTTCCATGTCACCCCCTGCTGGTCAGCACACATCATAGCGAGTGATCGAACTCCCGGTCTCCTGGTCGAACTCCTGAGGGGGCAATTTGCATATTGGGCTTTTATATATGTAGATATTTATGCTATATCTACATATACACATTAGATACTATACTCTCTTTTAGTTCTTATCCAGTCTTAGTTCTATAGGTAACTATGCATTTAATGGTCTTTACATTATTGTCTCTCTAACCTTGCAGTTCTCAAAATGTGATCCAAGAATACCTGGGGGTCCCTAAGATACCTTCCAGAGGTCTCCAAGTTCATATCTTCATAAAAATACTAAGATGTTATACCAAGGTGTTTTTTGTCCTTTCACTATGTTGACATTTGCGTTGATGGTGCAAAAGCAATGATGAAAAAAAATAACTACCTTAGTGTGAATCAAGGTAGTGGTACCAAACTCCACTAGCATCATTACATTACATTTCTCACTGCCATGCACTGGCAACAGGAAAAAATACAAATTTTACTTAAGAATGTTCTTCTTGGACAGTAGAACATATTAACTGTACTCAATACCCCCTTGAGAACAATCTGGTGGAGAGATGAGCTCTATGTGTAAAGCACTTCTTCCACATACTGTTTTTAAGGTAATACAATAATCGGTTCAAGGAAATGCCTTTGTGTGATTACTTGAGTTGAGAGCTACACTAATTGTTTTTCCACGGTACTTCATGTTTACTTGAGAGAACAATGGACAAACTATAATCATGCAGACTTGAGCTTTTGGCAGACAGGTTCTCAAAAATGAACTAAGTTAATCTTTTTATTTTAAGAAAATCTCTGACAGAATATGTTGTCATTGATGAAATTTAAAGAAGTAAAAAACTTTTATCTAACACCTTAAGCTTGACAGCTTCTTAATATTTAGCTATTCTTCTGGTGAGATTGCATTGATAGTGACACAATTAAATGTCTTTGATACTCTAAAATTAAAGGTACCAACATCTGGAGGATCTGCATAAGTCGGCGAATTTTTCAAATGTATGTTGTCATAAGCCAGGCATGTGTAGATGATCTGGTCAGCGTGCAGGTTAGGTTCTCTGATTTCAGAGCCAAATCTTCTGTTTTTCACAGAGTATTACAATATGGCAGCTTGCTTTCTAAGATGTACTGGCTTAGTTACAAACCTTGGTTTTACTTAGCCTTCCCTTTCTTCTATCTTTATTGTCCTAGTCCTCCCTGCTTGATTTTGATTCCAGTCGCAAGAGTTTCCCCCCACGTGGAGTTTGGAAGGAGCTCTGGCTGGCCAGTGGCGAGAGTTCACAGGTGCTAGATGGCTCTCGCTTCCCCAGGCTTGCCGAGAGATTGTCTCTATGGGATTAGGCACACTCCCTCCCAGTCTTACCTGCTCTTCTTAAATTAGCCCTTTGCATTTTGCAGCAAATACCTATACTTCAGGGCTTTTCTGTTCTCTGGCCCATTATTCCTTCCTCCTGCTTCCTCTCACACAGATGCCAACACCATGCATGTCTTGTGACAACAGGGATTTGTCTGCAGCAATTTCTTTTATGGGGTTTGGGAGGATATCTTGCCACCAAGTTTTATTGTGAATGTGGTCCACGAGTTGGGATTTGCTAACTAGTTGCTCTGTTTTTATGTGGAGATTTGGGGAGATTCAATACTATGCTGCCACCATCTTCCCAGAAGTCAGTGAACTTGTTTGTCTTTTTGCTTAAACTCTTATTGTTGCTGTTTTAGAAGACGTCCTATAAAAATTGCATGGTCCACCCTCCCCCTCCTCTGCCAGTATTGACAACAAAGGAGAGCAAAGCTGCTCCAGAGAGAAGCAGAACCATGAGCTCTGAGTCTCCTAGGGCACCAAAGAACCCCATTTCAACAGGAGTCCTGGGCCTCTTTTTGCCCCTAAGAAACCTGATGCCCAATGAGAAGAGTAATTTTCTCTAAATACAGTAATAATATGTGCACAAGTGGACAAATAGGTTTTTTTTAAAAGAGTAGGGGGAAAATGGAGCAGCAAAGTAATCTTACCTGTTGCTTTAATTTGCTCTGGTCATGAAAAGTCTTAATTCCGAGCTACAACCATGGAGTCGAATACCACTCAGCAATAAAAAGAATGAAATACCAATACATGCAACAACGTGGACCAATTTCAGAATTATTATGCTAAGTGAATAATGCCTGCACACGAAAGACCTCACACTGTATAATCTCATTTACATGAAATTCTAGAAATAGAAAAACTTAGTGACAAAAAGCAAATCAGTGGTTGCCATAAATGGAAGTTGGGAATAAGACATTGGCTACAAAGGGGCACAAGGGAATTTTCTATATTATGATAATGTGGTGGTTCTTGGACTGGCATTTGTCAAAAATCACTATGTATTTTACAGATACCTGCACACATGCAAAATGACATGTATGGGGGTGTTCTTTGCAAAACTAAATAAATTGAAACTATATTTCATAGAATAATGCCAAAGATATGTATATATAATATACATTATATATACTAAATACATACTATATACTAAATATATGCTATATATGTGTACATAAGTGTATTTTAAAGTTTCAAGGCAACTTTAAAATAAAATTGAATCCAATGCTTATGAAGGAAAAATTCCTAAAATAGTATTTCAGTTCAACCTGTATAAAATGATATGAGCAGGGAATGGCTGGATCGTGCAACACAGTGAGGCTCCTGAGTCTGTTGGACTCTTCAGAATGGTGATTATAAGCACCCTGACCTCATTTGGGTTTCATGTTTCTCATTAGCATTCTAAGGAAGAGAATGACAGAAAGGAGGAAATATAAAGAAAAGGAAGTGGTACACTTCATCATAACCACCAAGCTGGTCTGTCCTAAATAGCTGTAAAATATGGGAGTGGGGAGTCCCTTTACAAGAAACTATTACCGTTTATTATCCCGGAGACAAGATAAAAACAGAGCCTCCCCAAATAGAAGGGCTTTCTAAATCTCCAGGACGCTGACACTCACTCTACAATTGTGGCAGGTACACTTTGGCATTGCTGTCCACAGACTCACCTTGGAGACCTTGGGGATGTCACTTTACAATGAAATGCCCCACGGAGTTCACAGCTTCGACGGGAAGCAGGGATGCCTGAAATATTAATATTCCAGTGACAGGAAAAAGCTAAAATTTCCCAAAGCACCAGGCAGAGTCTATAGACCAGAGCCTGCTAACATTGTAAAGTGTGCCTGTCTTAAGAGCAAATAGTAAACTAGAACTAAGTAGACATGTCTTCAAACACAGTACCTGACAGTGACGGTGTTGACAGCCATTTTAGCGCTCCCAACGTCTTTTCATCAGAGTCACTGCTGCATGCATGGGAGTAGGATGACAAATTCAGATATGACTAAGAAGAAAGATGGCTTTTTTCTTCCACGACTCTGTAACAATTGATGGTGCTTTAATAATTGTCTTATATTTCGTTTATTTAGAAAAATATCAAGTTTACTTATCATTACTGCAGTTTAAATGCAACAGCTGAAATATAGTAGAACAAGAACTATCTGGAGTAAGAAGACGAAGCATCAAAGTTCATCTAGGTCACTTACTATCCATATGGCCCTGAGCAAAAGCTTAACCTCTCTGAGCTCCAGTTTTGTCATGTGAAAAATGTTAAGTCCTATCTCACCGTCTTTTGAGAAACTTAATTTAGACTCTGTAAGTGAAACATTTCCATGTAGCACAATATTTCTCAAACTCTAACAGAAATCACCCTGGGGCTATTGTCAAAATGCAAATTGTGCTTCAGAAAGCCCTCAGTGTGTCCTGAAACTTTGAAGCTTCCAGGTGAGGCCCTTGCTCCTGTGCTGTTATTGCTGCATCCTCTCGGAGCTGGTTCGGAGTGTAAAATTATATGCCCCACCTAATACCTACACTTTGACAGAATCTCCAAATAATTTGCATAAATATTAGTGTTTGAGCAACATTGGTCCAGGACTAGATCTGACACATGGCAGATTCTTGTTTTAAATATAAGTTTTGAATCATCACAGAAGAAATGTGCAGAATAGAAAGAGATATAACACATTTTTCCTAAGCAAAATTTGATTTGAATTATGTTCAGAGTCAACTCTTGCCTAGGTGCTGCTTTAAGCTAAAGAGTGGCCTCCTCCCAGGTCAGATTTGTACAGTCTCACAGCCACTTAATTAGCAGCTGTTTCTGTGGAAATCTGTATTATCTAAAGCCCTTCTCATCATTTTCCTCACCAGATCTCATGTTTTATTTTATGTAGAAACCACATTTACTAACTAAAATTTAAATTCATTCCCTGCCCTAGCTACTTTGGCTCAGTGGATGGAGTGTCGGCCTGTGGACTGAAGGGTCCCAGTTCGATTCTGGTCAAGGGCATGTACCTTCGTTGTGGGCACATCCCCAGTGGGGGGTGTGCAGGAAGCAGCTATTCGATGTTTCTCTCTCATTGATGTTTCTAATTCTCTATCCCTCTTCCTTCCTCTCTGTAAAAAATCAATAAAATATATTTTTAAAAATAAATAAATAAATTCATTCCCTATATGTACTTATCAGACATTATTCTTACAAACTTTCATCAACATGATATAAACCGAGTTAACACATCAAATTAATACAGTTCAAGCCAAAGCAAAGATGACTGATGTTTGCATTAGCCTAACCTGCTTTATTGTGGGTACATGAATAACATTAATACTTAAGAAGATTCTTAGGGAAATTATGGCCCCCAAGTAAGGAAACTAGTTTAGAAGCCTGGTTTATGGTGACAGCCAGTTTTAAGGGATTGGAGTCCAGATTGTAAATCAGTGAGAAATATGTAAAAATGTATTTGGATTTCAGCCAATGCTAGTATACCATTAACTGATAAACCCATTAATTTTTAAATAAATTACTGCTTTTGATAATAGATCAATTTTTCTATTCATTTTTTGAGTTATTTTACTTGCTGTAACAAAAGTTTAAGTGCTTGGTAGAGTTCACGGTGTATGCTCAAGAAATTTTAGTTTCTGTTTGCCATTATCATCATTAAGAATATAGTTCAGCACTGCTGATAATAATGTTGAATGTTCACCTGAATGTGGTCCTTTAAGGATCACTTTCAAAATGGGAAATAAATCAAAACTATTTCACGCATGTGACTTTGTTTTCTATGCAATTCTAGGCACTGTGGTGGTCCAGCAATTGATGTCAGTGATGATTAGCAAACACGATCGCCTTTTCCCCAAAGATGCAGAACTGCAAAGCAAGCCCCAAGACGGAATGAGCAACAACAACAATGAAGTTCAGAAGAAAGCCTGCGTGGGCCAGCTACAGAACAAAGAGAACAACAATACCAAGGACAGTCCTGTTCGGCAGTGCTCTTGGGAGAAGTCCGACTCTCCCCAGAGAAGCAGCGTAGATAATGGCTCCCCCACAGCTCTGTCAGGCAGCAAAACCAACAGCCCAAGGAACAGTGTTCACAAGCCGGATGTCTCTAGGAGCCCCCCTCTTCTGGTCAAAAAGAACCCCGCCTTCAATAAGGGCAGCGGGATTGTCACCAACGGGTCCTTCAGCAGCAGCAATGCAGAAGGTCTTGAGAAAACCCAAACCACCCCCAACGGGAGCTTACAGGCCAGAAGGACCTCATCACTGAAGAGCTCTGGCACCAAAATGGGCACCCACAGTGTACAGAACGGAACAGTGCGCATGGGCGTTTTAAACACCGACTCGCTCGGGAACCCCATGAACAGCCGCGGCATGTCCTGGCTGCCCAATGGCTACGTGACCCTGAGAGATAACAAGCAGAAAGAGCAAACAGGAGAGTCGGGCCAGCACCACAGGCTCTCCACCTATGACAACGTCCATCAGCAGTTCTCCATGATGAACTTCGATGACAAACAGAGCGTTGACAGTGCCACCTGGTCCACTTCCTCCTGTGAAATCTCCCTCCCTGAGAACTCCAACTCCTGCCGCTCCTCCACCACCACCTGTCCAGAACAAGACTTTTATGGTGGGAACTTTGAGGACCCTGTTCTGGATGGGCCCCCGCAGGACGATCTTTCCCACCCTGGGGACTATGAAAACAAAAGTGACCGGAGGAGTGTGGGAGGTCGAAGCAGTCGTGCCACCAGCAGCAGCGACAACAGTGAGACGTTTGTGGGCAACACCAGCAGCAACCACAGTGCACTGCACAGTTTAGTGTCCAGCCTGAAGCAGGAAATGACCAAGCAGAAGATAGAGTACGAGTCCAAGATAAAGAGGTGAGGAGAATCTGGAGCTCATAATTGCCAGAGAGCCTCCTCCTGGTCACACTCACACAGGGGGTTAAATATGCTCATTCCAGAGCCAGAGCCCCCTATTCAAGTCCTGGCTTCACCATTTGTAAAGTGGGGGCTTTGAGGGAGTTAACTTGACCTCTTGTGAGCCTGGGTTTCTTCATATGAAAAATTTAAATAGTAGTGTTTCCCTCGAAAGCATGCAAGAAACCATTGAGCCTTGTTCCTGCACAGCAGAGGTACCCAATAATGCTGTGAGGATTTGTGCTAGAGGCTGGTTAGAGAGGAGCTGAGAGGGGAATGAATGGAGGGTAACGAGCCTGTTTTCACTGACAGGAAAAGGATGGAATGAGGGTAAAGTTGTAAAAATAATCAGACCTTTTTTTATTCTTTTGATTGTTGAATGCTCAGAGAGTGTCTGCTATCTGCCAAGCTCAGGTTCAGGCCCTGGGAATTTAGCAGTCAATAAAACATACTAGTATTTAAACTCAGTCCTCATGGAACATGCCTCCGTTGTACGAGAGAAGACAGATAAATAAGTAAAATAGGTCCTATGCTAAGTAAAACTGGGAAGAGGGGGAAGAGTGTTGGTGAAGTGCAGTTTTAAGTGCAGGGCCTATGGCAGGTTAAAGGGGAAGCTGTGCAGACACCTGGGAGAGGAGCAGGTGGAAATGCTGTGAGATGGGCTGGGCAAGGAGCTCAGCAAGGGAACAGGGAACAGGTTAAAGGATCTTGGGGCTCAGATTAAGTCTTTAGCTTTTACTCTGAGATTAGAATCCATGAAGGTTTTTGAGAAAGGTGTTGACATGAAGTATATTCATATGAACAAGGAAAATTATAGCCTAAATGGGAAGCAAAAGCTATGATTTATAAGGAAACAGCTATGCTAAACCCTAATTTATATCCTTTCACATCTTCTCATCAGATAGCCAAGGCAGGAAGAAGTTTGCTTAGCAACTTCTCTAGGAAAACAACCCAGGCAAGATAAAGGGGCATTGTCTGAGGGTCCTGAGTTCACAGGGCCCTGACTGTCAGACAGGCCATGGAGAATGGAGCCCAGGGCTCACAAATATAATCTTGTCCTGAAAGTCACCACATTCACATGTCACTGAGGTCACAGAAATGGCAAAACTGTTTTTTGTTTGTTTGCATGTGTGGTTTTTTGGTTGTTGTTTTTGTTTTTATTTTAGAGAGAGGAAAGGAGAGGGAGAGGGAGAGAAACATCAATGAGAGAGAAACATCCTCCTGCATGCCATCTACTGGGGATCCAACCCACAACTCGGGCATGTGCCCTGATAGGGAATTGAACCGGTGACCTCCTGGTGCTTGGGACCATGCTCAACCAACTGAGCCACACCGGCCAGGCACAACTGATTGTTTTTATGTTCTCCTTTCAGCATTGTATAGGGCAAAGAACACTGAGCTCCCAAGTCAGGAGAAGGCCTGAGGCTCGGTTCAGTGTGAGGGAGCCCCTCTAGTGGTCCCACTCCCAGGCTCAGGCTGTGTGTTGGGTGGACCTCTCCCCATGTGGGGGTTCTAAGACCCTTATCATTTGTGCACCTCAGTCTTTGTCCTGCTTCAACTGCTTCCATGTCTCCACACCCCACATGGTTTCTTTTATTTATATAAACTTGACTTTATTTTACCATTTCCCATCCATTTATCAATCAGCAGGCCAAAAGGTACTTATTTTCAAGAGTACCCACAGTGTAGTAGATATAGAATAAAATGCTATTTATATGTTAGGTTGAAAAATTACTTTCGAAAGTTGTTTTTGTAAACTTCGCTGAATGGAAAGTTGATTTGAATTTTTCTCCATAATGCCGAGTGACGGGAAGTTTAAATAAGAAGAAAAAGGCAGAAACATCTTTCAGGTTACTCCTCTTTCTAAATGTGATGTTTAGAAGCACTGGCTCCCAGAACTCTGAGCTGCTGCCGGTGCGTGGTGATAAATGAGCACTTAGCCCTGGAAAAGGAGATACCAGCTGAAGCTTGCATTCATCCTAATGCAAGTTTCAACTGTTATCTCCACCCTGGAAATACGTTATCATTGTGAATGGCTGCAGATGAACATATTCCTTTTTGACGACATAGGTGATACATTCATGTTCTGAGTCTATGGTGCATTTCAGAGACTTTGATAAAATAATAGAACTTTTCAATAGAGTGCCATCTCACTGGGCCCTCTCACTGTAGCATTCCTACCACCTGACAGGCAAGGGAGCGGCTCACAGAGAGGTAGGGCAGAGGAGCTGCCACATGCCCAAGCCACAGAAATTCCTGCTTAGACTTACACATTTCACTTTCAAATTTTTTTAGCTCCACCCACAAATATTGAGGTTAGATAGATGATTCATACGTATGTACATACATACCTACATACCTGAATAGCTCAACAAATGATAGATAAGATAGCTGGATAGTACTTTATCAATTATGGATATGTTTTTTTAGTTTTTAAACATGTGCGTTTAGTATTCTCCACCCCCACCCCCCATTTCCTTTATTGTATTATAGTCAGAGAAATTTATTTTTATGATATCAATTATTTGGTCTTGTAAAAATGATTCTTTTATGATTGGTTTGGGATTTTATATATGACCATAGAGCAAGTCTGTTAATCAAGCTGCTTAAATATTTTACATTTTTCCTCATTTTTATCAGATAGATCTATAACTTCTAACAAAGGTAACTTAAACTCTCCTAAGCTTTATGGATTTACCAATGTCTCCTTAAAAATGTCTGTTATATTTTATATTAACTTATTTGAGGCTACACTGCTAGGTGAATAAAAGATCAGAATTGTTTATATATTTCTGATGAATTGATATCATTGAGTAATGGTCATCTTTAGTTGTAATAATGTATTTTTCCTACAAGTCTATTTTTTCTGATATTAGCATTGCTATACCATTTTTTATTTTGATTAGTAACTTTCTTCTATTTTTACCATTAACTTTCAAATTTTATTTGATCTGAGGACATATATTTTTCAATTCTGGAATATTTTTATCTATCATCTTTTTATTTTATCTTCCCCATTTTCTCAACTTTCTGTTTCTACAACCCTTATTCAAGTATGTTGGGCCTTCTTAATCCATGCTCCATCTCTGTTAACTTCTCTTTCTCACATTAAATTTCTATCTTTCTCTGTGAGGCATTCTGGACAATTTTCCCAGACCTGTTTTCCTGTTTACTGATTTTTTTTCTTTTTTAAGATCTATTTTTTATTATAGTAGATATACAATATTATATTAGCTTCAGGTGTACAGCACAGTGATCCAACATTTATATACCTTACTAATTGATCACCACAATAAGTCTAATAACCATCTGTCACAATATATAGTTATTTTAATATTATTAGTGGCCCAGTGCACAGATTCATGCACATTGAAAGGAAATTAATTAGAAGGTGGCCGGTAGGGCGGGACTGGGCCAGACAACCGGACACGCCCTGGAGTCAACCTACCACAGTCCCTTCCCAGGGCTGAGGCTCGAAGGGCAGCTGCGGTCACCCCAGTTCGGCAGTAAACCAGATTTGGGGCCGACAATGCCCCAGGAACATAACCCATGGCCAAAGGTGGAAACACACAGCCCAGCAAGGAATCGGGCTCCCTCCTCTCTGGTTCAGGGGTGCGTCACCCAAGAACCACTGCTGCCAAGTCACTGCAGCTCAGCAGCTTCTGCATTGAGCGTCTGCCCCCTGGTGTTCAGTGCACGTCATAGGTACCAGATGGTCGGATGGTCACTTAGCCTTTTATATATGTAGATTAACTATATTTCCTTTGCTTTACTTTCCATCCCTGTAACTTATTTTATAACTGGAAGTTTGTACTTTTAAATCCTCTTCCTCTTTTTCTCCCACTTCCCACCCTCCACTCCTCAGAAAACCATCAGTTTGTTTTCTGTACCTATGAGTTGCTTCTGTTTCATTTTGTTTTTTTTAATTGTATTGTTAAAATATTTTTATTGATTTTAAAGAGGAAGGGCAAGGGAGAGAGAGATAGAAACATCAATGAGATAATCATTGATCAGCTGTCTCCTGCACCCCCTACTGGAGATTGAGCCCATAACCCAGGCATGTGCCCTGACTGGGAATCAAACTGTGACTCCTGGTTCATAGGTTGATGCTCAACCACTGTGCCACACCGACTGGACTTGTTTTTTAGATTCCATAATTAGAATCATATGGCATGTCTTTCTCTGGCTTATTTCATTTAACATGACATTCTCTAGGTCCATCCATGTTGTTGCAGATGGCAAGATTTCAATCTTTTTTTATGGCTGAGTCATATTCCATTATATATATGTACCACTTCAATCTTTTTTTATGGCCGAGTCATATTTCATTGTATATATGTACCACTTCTTTATTAATTCTGCAGTGAACATAGGGTGTATATATCATTTAAATTATTGGGTTTTCTTCTTCAGATAAATAGGGTGTATATATCATTTAAATTATTGGGTTTTTTTCTTCAGATAAATACTCAGAAATTGAATGCTGTATCATACAGTAATTTTGTTTTTAATTTTTTGAGGAATTTCCATACTCTTTCCCATAGTGGCTGTACCTAATTTATAATCCCACCAACAATGCATGAGAGTTCCCTCCTCTACATCTTGCCAACACTTGTTATTTGTTGTCTTTTTGATGGTAGCCTTTTGTAGGTGTGAGGTGATACCTCATTGTGCTTTTGATTTGCATTTCCCTGATGATCAGTGATGTTGAGCATCTTTTCAGGTATCTGTTGGCCACCTATATGTCTTCTTTGGAGAAATGTTTATTTAGGTTCTCTGCCCATTTTTAATAGGATTATTTGCTTTTCTGATGTTGAATTATATGAGTTTTTGGTATATTTTAGATACTCACCACTTGCCAGATGTATCATTTGCAAATATTTCTCCCATTTAGTGGGTTGTCTTTCTTATTAATGGCTTTCTTCACTTTGCAAAACCTTTTAAGTTTTTTTAAAAATATATATTTATTTATTGATTTCAGAGAGGAAGGGAGAGGGAGAGAGAGATAGAAACACCAATGATGAGAGAGAATCATTGATCGGTTGCCTCCTGCACACCCCCTACTGGGGATCAAGCCCACAACCCAGGCATGTGCCCTTGGCCGGAATCGAACCTGGGACCCTTCAGTCCGCAGGCTGATGCTCTATCCACTGAGCCAAGCCAGCTAGGACCTTTTAAGTTTAATGTAGTTACATTTTGCTTTTGTTGCCTTTGCCCAAGGAGACATATCCAAAAATGTATACCTTAACACTGATTTTTTTCTTTTGCTGATTTAATTCTGACACTTCACTCATCCCATGAATAGAGTGTTTGTGGTCCCTTTTGTATAAAGATAATTAATGCTATAAGCTCTCAGCTGAATCACTCTCAGTTTTCTTCCTCTCATACCAGAGACCTCTTCTCCCCCATGTGAAAAATAAAAACTAGCTCCCGCCTCAGACCTCTATCCAGGATCAATACCCTTTGTGTGCTTCCACTTACTATTCTAAATTGGAGTATCTTTCTCGGTTATGATACTTGAACAGGCTTTTTTTTATTTCTTTTAACCTTGTTATGTATTTTTAAAGTTTTTATGTATTTTTCCAGCATCACTCTGTGTCTGCAGTGGGAGGGGTTCCCTTCTGTATTCCACTCAGGCTGTTAGAGTCCTGGAAGTTTCATACTAGTGCCTGATACGTATAATGTATCAGTTTTGTTTAAAGGATTGTCTTCATTGGTATTTATGCTTCAGTTTATTTTTAGCATTTTTACTTCTAAAATAAATAGATTTAAAAATCAAAGAGAATGTATTGTAGACTAATTCTGGGTTGCAACCAGCACACTGCCAGGTTGTCATATAAAAAATGTGATCATATGATCAAAACAGCCTTCTAACTGATTAGAGAATATGAAGAATTCTCATACTTTCAAAAGAACAGGTTTATTTATTTTTTTAATATATTTTATTGATTTTTTACAGAGAGGAAGGGAGAGGGATAGAGAGTTAGAAACATCGATGAGAAAGAAACATCGATCAGCTGCCTCCTGCACACTCCCCACTGGGGATGTGCCCGCAACCAAGGTACATGCCCTTGACCGGAATCGAACCCGGGACCCTTGAGTCCACAGGCCGACGCTCTATCCACTGAGCCAAACCGGTTAGGGTAGAACAGGTTTATTTTTAAGTGTTATTATTATTATCTGGATGAAATATCAACACATGAGACATTATAAAACAAAAACAATTGAGATTTAAAGTTTGAAAATTATTATTAAGATAATCAGGTTTCTGAAATTCAAATTTTAGTGTTATGGTAACTTTAAACATCCCAGGGATATTAGCTCAGAAGAGGAGACACGAAAAAGTAAACTATTATTAAGATCCATCATATAATAAACAAGTGCTTAATACTCCTCTTTGAACAACAACAAATTATGTTTTGGAACTTAGTGATTATGGAGAAAACTGTTTTCAAGAAAGTTATCTAAAATCATACAATTATCCAAAAGGATACAGCTATCAATCTATAGAGATATAAATTTAGAGATCCTCAGATATATTAACTTGGAAAGCAGTGAGATTGGGGATAGCAGATTACTTGGGTGGACTCCATTGTCACAAAATGTCAGGTGGATTGCTTATTCACCACCTGTCATCTCCACTCTTCTGCATGTACGTTAGCTTTGGTACCACTTGTATAAGATTCCTATGTCTCAGGAAGTTCATTCTTAGCAGTGGACTTTATCTAACAATGATATTTTTACTATCATTTTTCCTCTCCTAGAAACCCAATAGGATTGCTCCCCTTTTCTTCCATCTTTACTGGGCTTTCCCCCTTTCTCTCGGTAAAGCCCAGTTTGCAATAAGGATCCAGGAAGCCTTGTGGTTTGGGCTGCCTTCTGCTTCTGCCGTTCTGTGCTGTGTGACATTGGTTTTCTGACTCCTCTGTGCTGACATTTATACATTCACTTTCAAATGACAACTAAGTGCTTCTGAGAGAGGTCTTGGGGTATCTTGTTAACATGATAGCAAATCATCTTAGCAAATACTAAAACAACAACAACAAAACCTTTAAAATCACTGGACCTTACCTCACTGATTTAAAAAGGCTCACCCCAATTTCCTAAGCTTTGCAGAGACAGAGTTTAGATAATATTTGTATCCCTGTCCTATTGCACGTGAATAAAATCACTTTATCTTTTATTTTCTCCCCAACCCCTTGTAGCTTAGAGCAGCGAAACTTGACGTTGGAAACAGAAATGATGAACCTCCATGATGAACTGGATCAGGAGAGGAAAAAGTTCACAATGATAGAAATCAAAATGCGGAACGCAGAGCGAGCGAAAGAAGACGCTGAGAAAAGAAATGACATGCTTCAGAAAGAAATGGAGCAGTTTTTCTCCACATTTGGGGAGCTGACGGTGGAACCCAGGAGACCCGAGCGAGGAAACACGATATGGATCCAGTGAGCCGGCTGTCCCCCGCTGTCTCTGGTGGATCTGGGAAGGACTTTGGGGTTCCTGTGGGAGGATTACGTGGGATCAGGTGACAGGTCACCTGGCTGTACAGTGCCCTAACTGGTGAAGGAATATCATTTACAGACATTACCCATCCATATCTGCAACGTGTACCAAAGTTATATCACGCCCCATATGCTACTGTCAAGTGTTACAACTGGATATGTGTATATAGAGTAGTTTTTTGAAAAGTAAACTAAAAATGAGAAGCATATCTCAAGAATTATTTTATTGCAAGTCTTGTATTTAAAATGTTAATTCAATATGTTGTTGCAATTTAGCTTGCTTTCAAGCTTCACCCCTTGCACTTAACATAAGCTATTTTTGGCATTGTGTTATCATCAGCTTATTTTATAGATCAATATTTTTATTTCCCTCTTTTTGCTGAGGAAATGAAGATAAGCAGATATATAAAAATATATAAGTATATATATAAGATGAGTTATTAAAAGCAAAAGAATACTTTGTGGCTGTGCTGTTTGTGCCAATAGACCTTACCATGACCAAAAAGAGAAATGTAAATCATTCTATGAAATACGGTGGAATCACCAGGAACCTTTGAACTGCTCTGTAAATTCTTCCCTTGGCACTGCTCAGTTTGCTTTGTGATGATTTGGCACAGGACATGTTGGATGTGGAAAACAGTTCCTTTTTTCATCCCCCTGGTTTGCCTGGTCAGGTCCACAGATGCCTGTCTGCTACGCAGGATGCACCTTAGAGGGGCAAAATGGGAAAGAAAAACATTTCACCAGTCATGCCTTGAGTTACTCTGTCGTTCTGGCCTGAGTCTGTAACTGCTGGACGGTTACCTGAGAAATTCTTCTTGCCCTTTGAGAGTTAGGAAAACGGCTTAAGCCACTTGCCCCACCCCTGCAATGCCATTTTCTGAGCACCTGCCTTTCACTCAGACCTCTCCCCCACCCCCACCCCCAGGTAACTGCACTTTGGGGCTTGTCACCCTCAGTGAAATAGTAGTTCTGTGTCCCTCTCAGTTAAACCACTAGCGTGTGTACCACAAAGTGACATTCTCCTCTCAGTCAGGCTCACTGTTCTGTTGTCACCTGGGATTCTCTCTGAAGGACACAGCGGGCAAAGGCATTCTGCAGCAAGAGAGAGGTGATGGAGGGAAAGGGGACCAGAAGGAGGAGGAGACAGAGGAAATGAACTAACAATTTTGCTTCTAATTTTCACAGTATTGTTTTTCCCTGTTGGAAACATAGTCATTCACAGTAATTTTCAAATGAGAATGCTTCAAGGTCCAATTTTGATGAATTTGTGAACATTAGTGATGATAACTTTCTAGAGAATCTCATGTTTCTCAGGAGTGAGAGTTTGGGGAGAACAGTTCTTCACACATCAATAAGACAATGCTTTTATGAAACCAAACAAATAGATCTTTCTCAAAGGAAAACAGAAAGTCACCTTTAAAGCATAATTGGAAATAAACACCACTTGAGTTTATGGGATTTGTGTGTTTGAAGGTTCTATGTTTGTGTGTGTTTCTTTTTTTCAAGGGGGAGAGTAGCCTTGACAGCATTCATTCTTGTCGCTGTGCTGCTTTTGTTTACAGCCCTTCAAGGATCAAGCTTATGTGGTCCTTTAGTATCAACCACTGTGTACATACAAATGCCTTGTTATGGTCAGAGTGTGTGCAGGAGGCAACCAATCGATAGGAGAAACCATTGATGTTTCTCTCTCTCCCCCCTACCCTCTCCTCCACTTTCTCTTTAAAAAAATCAATGGAAAAAGTATCCTTGGATGAGGATTAAAAAAAATAAATACCAGAATTATATCTTATTGATTTTAAATCTCTCACTCTCCACCCTTTATGTTATAGAGTGCCAGCACAGAGAGTTAACAATAAATTTGAAGAGTTAGCAAAAAATTATGAGGGGATGATGTTATTAAGTTTAATTATTGATTTTGGTGATGATGACCTCTAATCAATGGATACTGAGTTTCTATTAGTTCTCCTATTAATCAAGCTAAAAGCCTCGAAAATATCAACTACAAATTGACATAAGAATACATTGGAAATAAGTACTTAGGTAGTATCAAGAATTCATTTGCTACATCTTATATATACTTCTTTAAAATTATTTAGGTTAGTCCTGGCCAGTGTGGCTCAGTTGGTTGGAGTATTGCCCCATACACCAGGAGGTTGTGGGGTTTGATTCCCGGTCAGGACATATACCCAGGTTGCAGGTTTGATCTGCAGTCAGACACATGCAGATCGAACCTGCAATTTAAAAAATAAATAAAACTATTGAGGCTAACAGCAATAATTCTTCTTTTTTCCTTTTTTTAAATCCTCACCCAAGGATATGCTTTTTCATTGATCTTAGAGAGAAAGGAAGGGAGAGAGGGAGAGAGGGGGGGTAAAGGGGGGGGGGAGAGAGAGAGAGAGAGATCCATTGCCTCACACAGATGCCCTGACTGGGGATCAGACCATGATGCTCTACCACTTAGCACACTGGTGGCTAGGACAGTTGACTACAATAATTCTCTAATTATGAGCTCAGAATAAAAGATTTGCTTACAAGTGGTGAGTCTATAATGTTGGTCATAGAGAAGCATTGATCAGATGCTCAAACCTCAGAGGGAAGGTAGGGGAGGATGGGGGTAAGGGGGAGAGATCAACCAAAGGACTTGTATGCATGCATATAAGCATAACCAATGGACACAGACACAGGGGGGTGAGGGTATGAA